GAGCTTAAAAACTGTAATTTATATTTCTTTGCATACCCTAGCCCAAGACTTGATGCACTGCCTAGGTACTTAATAACTATTTGTTGATTGATTTAATTCAAATTGCCACACCATTTTCACATGTACTTCTGGGTTACCATTCCAGACTACAATCTTCTTGTTCCTCCTCCAGGTAAATAAAAAGTAAAATAATATGAGTTGAAAGCCCTGGAATGGAATAGAAAAGCCTTTGTGTAAAAGCACTTTGATGACGCTGACTGCTCTAGAAGCCACGGCTTTGATAAGCCCAGGCAGTGCCAGTCGTGGAGGAGGAGAAACACGGAGGCAGGGACTGGGAGAGGACTTGTGTCTGTCTTCTCGCACTCAGATGGGTGACAGCTCCAGCTTTCCACCAGAAGTGAAATTTGGACACAGGACAGAAAGGGTAGAGTTAATCTAACTGTAACTGTGAAGCAAGAGATGTTTATAAAGGTCATATGTCAAATATTTCTTATGTGGCCAGCATCTTATTAGGTAACTGTAGGAGAGGTGAAGGAGCCCTGGTGGCACAGTAGTTAAGAGCTTGACTGCTAACCAAAAGGTCAGCAGTTCAAACACACCAGCCACTCTGTAGGAGAAAGATGTAGTCAGTGAAGACTGCACTCTTGGAAACCCTATAGAGCAGTTGTACCTTGTCCTATAGGGTCACTGTGAGTCAGAATCGACCCGATGGCAGTGGGTTTTTTGATCTCCTCTTTTCTCTCTCACACACTCACTCACTCTGCTCTTTTTCATCCTACTTTTTCTGCTCCCCCTCCCTTTTCCATTAGGCCTTGGAAAGGCTGGACTTCTTATTGACATGACCAATCAAAGCACTCCATTCCACTGGGTGTAAACTGAGCCTGTCATGTTTCAAGTTATCTGCAAATGTGTTAACACGCTGCTGCTCCCCACTCGGAGGCTCCTCCTTGGCCACAGAAGATACTTGCTAAAAAGAAATCTGTTTTGTCCCAGTTTCAGGATTTGAGAGCCCTTCTGGAAGAACAGTCTCATATAGCTGATATTTCACTGTTATCTACTCAGACTTGGCTTTATATTAACAACATATAATCTGGGTGGAGTTTCTATACCAGCTAACTGGTGTAGATTGATCCCATGAGGTCACATGGGTCTCTTGTAGAATTCACTATTGCCCGGGGCTCATTCCTTAACTCATTCCTAAGTGCTGGCCTGGCTTTCTGTCTTCTGTTCAAGTGTCTCTCTTTCCAGGAATGGGTTCTTTCTGACAACTTAAATAAAGCACAGTGAAAACTCTGTAGCTGGTTCTTCCCAGGAGAAGAATGTGGCCCCAAAGACGCTATTATATTTTTTCCTCTGCTGAAATGAAAAGGAGCTCTGGTGGCGTA